TTAATATTCATGACTTTTGTATACAGTTAAAATTTTGTTTTGTTTCTTTAACCTGTTAATGTCCACATTTTTTCTGAAAGTTGAAGAACTTTCATTGTGGATTCCATCAAGTACTTTGGATCTAAGAATATCAAATTTTATGGACTTTTACCAGCAAGTGCACTTTTCATATGAAAATAAAATATTCACTGAAACAAATTTCTAAATTCTTTTCTAGTAATTTTTCTAAAAGAAAGGTTATAATCACAGAACAAGATAGTGATATATTTTACATAGTGTCAGATTCAAATCATTTCTTAAGGCCTTTGTTGAGTGACTGTAGATCTCCAAAGTAATGATCGTTTAAATGATCATTGGATAGAGTCCTACATCGAATTTTTTCGGGATAACTGAGTTCGAATGCTAAATTTTTTTCGAATTGTACGATGATAGAGAATTTTGAGTACCTTTTCAAATCTATTTTATGTTTGATCTCAGAGTAAAGGTCAATGGGATGAGAAAATCCTGATTTTTCGAGTTTCTACGTGTTTTTTCAATCTTGTTGACCTTTACTCTGAGGTCAAACATAAACTAGATTTTTAAAGGTACTCAATTCTCAATTGTGTAACTCGAAAAAAATATTAGCATTCGAACTCAATTATCTATTATAAGAATACTCAATCCCAAAAAAAAACCGATGTAGGCTTCTACCATTGGACACGAACAGATTAAAATCTTTGTTTAAATCACTGTTTAATATATATTCTTTTTTATGTTTGAAATTGAGAAAAAAGAATAAAGACAGACATTATGAGAACCAAGCAAGCACTACATATATATATATAAAATATATGTACGTGTATGTGTATAAAAAAAGCCAACCATAGGATGACAAAGCAAAAATGAAACAAGAAAAACAAACAATTAAGTTTTATTTCAATAGAATGACAATTGTAGCAATAATTAAAATATCCTTTATATTTTTGTTTACATTTAATTTATTTGCATAGGATTTTCCGGAAATATTTTGTTGTTGTATTATATGTTGAGAATGATTTCTCGGTGAATGTGTCCGTTGTGATGAATGATGATCATTTGTTTCTGTTGATAATGAATCTAATATTAATATTTTTGGTGTATGTTGACATGGTGTACCACATTTATCTTGTTCATCATTACAATATAAATTTTTTTCTAATAGTGCAATTGGTATAGGCATAGTTGATTTTTGAATTTGTTGATGATGAGTTTTAACATATTTCATTGTTTCATTTGTCACTGTACAACCATGTTTTAAATATTTTTTAATATGTTCATCATTATTTAAATTATTTTGTTTTAAATATTCAATTATTTGTAGTAATGAACAATCACATTGTGGACGTGTATGTGTATGTTGTTGAATTTGTAATGTTGGTTTATATAATAGAATACAATTAGATAATGGTGAAATAAATATATATTGAATATGAATATACAAACGTTCTAGTTTTTCTAATGAACAAAATGCATTTTTATGAATATTTCTAATCGGATTATTATTTAAATGTAATATTTTTAATTGTGGTAAATGTTCAAATTGAAATTCATCAATATCTTCTATTAAATTTGAACTTAGATCTAATTCTTGTAAACTTGTTGAACGTAATCCAACAGGTACCAATTTTAATTGATTATTTTCTAATGCTAAATATTGTAAATGTTTTAAATTTGATATATTTGTCGATGATGGTGTTAATAATTGTGGATTATTTCGAATAATTAATTTTTCTAAATTAATAAATCTATCAAATTGTAATGATGATTGTTTTGTATTTGTTAAACTTAGATGTTTTAAATTTCGTCCATAATCTGATGGACGACTTGATGATTGATCATCTAATACAACATTTTTTATTTCTAAACGTATTAATAATGGTAGTTGTTCTAATAAATAATCTAAATTTATTTTTTGTTTATCACTTGTACCATCGTATATATAATTAATATTTTTTAATGATAACATTTTTAATGTTTGAAATGAATCAGCATTAAATATTGTTTGTGGAAATTGTGGTTTAATTGTTGAATTTTCAATTGAAAATTTTTCTAATGAATTTATTTTTGAAAATGATTGTTCATTTAATTCTGTTAAATTACATAAACGAAAACGTAATGCATTTATGGTTAAATCGGCAAATGTTTTATCACCGATACGAACTGGTCCATCACATGTGTCCATTTGAACCTCCTCATGTTTAACATTGGTAGAAAATGATGGAGCATATGTTAAATGATAACATTTTAATAGAATCGATGTTCCATCACCAAAATCTTCACAATCACATTGAGGTTGTTCTAGACACAATTTTGATTGTTGTTCACCATAAACGAACGATATTAAATAAAATAATAAAATAATTGAATTAAACGAACGACAATAGAAACGTATTACCATGATAAAGAACGACCAACAATTATCTAGATGATAATGATATTAATATGGGCGACGAACATGTTGGTAAATTCAACACATACATCTAAAACAGAAAGAAATATTTTGACAATAAAAGTGTCGATTACGACAGTATTCCTCTCTATTCTAAAAGTATAATGATCTAAAGTATAGTAATAAGCTTGATAATATATGAAAATAGTCAGTAAAATTAAACTGTATATATGGTAAGTAAATGATTGACCACTTGTCTATAATAATTTTTTTTGTGTGTGTACACTGTTGAACGATTATGAAATTAGGATGCGATATTTTAGAATTTCTTATCACAATTCTACACAAATATTATTTTATTGTAGCATTTTTTCTGAAAAATTTTGGTTTCATTCTTCATCTAATTTGTACTATAAGCGTATCATACATTTTTCAATCACTCAAGTTTGTTTGGATCATTGATAAGTAAGTGAGTCAGTCTACTAAGCCTTAAGGAAGAAAAGAGCTTTATCTAGCTTAAATTTACAATTGGCTGAAAAATTCTTATTCTTATTAGCAGTGTCTCTCGTTATTTTAAGACATCCACTTAAACATGGTCATTTTACATCTTTAAGCATTGTTCATAACTGCATGAATGTATTATACATATATATATATATATAGGTAGAAATGAAATGTATTGATGTCTGAGAAGTTTTATTTTAAGAATATCTATCATGTATACGACATACTTATGCTTACTTACTTATGTTCTACCATTTTTTCATCTTTGTCAAAATTTTTTGCACTTCTTTTTTCATTTCTACTTCTGTAAAAATTTTCTCTTGGTGCTTATGTTCAGTCGCCATGGACTAATTTTTTTTCTTCTTTACGTACAGATGAATTAAAAAACGGGAAATGTTCGTCGGTCAATGTCGATTTGTTTTTTCTCAATCCATATATGTCTATAGTCTCTTTATATCTATTTTGAACCCGAAGGTAATCAGAAGAGAAAAAAAATGAAGAAAAAGAATAGCGTACAAACAAAAAGATTGATTTTTCTTCTTTTTTTTTTTTTTATTCAATTGTTATAATAACGTTTCAAAAATCATTCGAAAGTTATTAGACATTTGTTCTAAGCTCAGACACATAGAGAGTATGAAACGAGACTTAACGTTATAATTACTGATGAGCAATTATAAAACGGGGAAAAAAAAATATGATGACATCAGGTCATCGATTTATGTCATTGATAAAGATTAAAATGAGAGATGTTTTTATATGATGATGAGAAGAGAAAATGTCTACGTAGTGATTGTTGACCAATGAACTTGAAGATACAGAAGTTGCTTGGCAATTCTGGCATAAGCCATATCTCACAGCGTATGTATGTGTACCACAAGTAAAAAACAGATTAGAATCCATTTATCTGAAGACGATTGTTGGTTTTTTTTTCAATATATATCCAATATATATATATATATATAGAGAGAGAGAGAGAGAGAGAGAAAAGAAGTGGACGATGGGGTTTTAATCGTTCAACTTTAATCCATAATGAATAGAGGAAGGAAATAACAAGACAATTACCAGTTCTACTATCAATTTACTGTCCTAGTCGGCAAAAAGAATAGAAATGTCAATTATATCTAAAACTGTCCTCTTCTAATCGAAACGATTATCGTAAAACTAGAGCGAATAAATGTCAAAAAACAGTAGTGTAGCATCATAAGAATTTAAATAAACTGTAACTTTTCTCCTTCAGTAAAATAGCAACACCGATACTTTTTTTAAACATTTAATTATTAAAAAATTTTGTTGTATAAAATCTCTCATGCTCGTATTACTACGATCACATATCCTAATTAGAAAATCTTGAGTTTGACTAGCAAACATTTATCATTTATCATTACATTTACTATACATCATTTAAATCCTACTTTTCTTCACAATGTCCTCAACAATCGTGTAATATATGTTATTCATAATAATACTTAACGTATACGTTCAGTATAACAATGTTCTTACAAAAGTAAAAGTCATTTCGAAAAGTGGTTAGTCACATGAGACTTAGTGTACTCTTTTTTCTAGTTAAGAATAGAGTTTGCATACTTGTTCTCTCTATTCTATTTTTTTTTACTTGAAATAAACTAAGAACCGATTCTAAATTCATAGTCAGAAAAAATAGTCGTGCATGTAAAAAAAATTAATCATAAATCAACGGGTACTTCAAGTGACATAAACCGAACTTTGTCTATAAATATTGTTTGATCATGCACTTTCAATTAAAGAGAATTTTAAGAGAAGAAAAAAAAAAAAATTTTCCCAGATAACCATTTTCTTTTTCAATTATGCGTTTATAATAATACCAACTATTTAATAAAAATATCATTTCTTTTTTTGTCGAGTTTGTACTCTGGACATAAAAGCAATACCATACTCATTTTCGAATAAAAATGCATCAAGTATGATTCCATAGAACTGTTTAAAAACACTACTACTAATCAGTCAATATAATTTTGTTTGAAAGATGAAGAAAGAGTTGAGATGAATAATAGTGCAAGGTTATACACAATTTTAAAAAAACATTTTAGGTTTTAAAATAGTGTTCCTATGAGAGAAAAATTGTTTAAAAGTATTTTTAATAATGCACATTCGTTTATAGTAGATTCATATTTTAGAAAGTTGATTATTAATTTAAATTTCTATATCTTGAAAGAAATGTTTTAAAAATATATATCTCACTATCTAAGACTCAAACTGTAGCTTATATCAGTCACAGAGTAAGTTTATTTTCTTCAGTAGTAATAGTAAATGTTAACACTGTTTACATTTTTCAAGAGACAGGTACATTTTAAACTATCGAAGTAGTTGAAGAGAACTTCTTTCAGACCATTACTATCTATCATTCAGGGATAAGGAGTCTATCTATATACATTTGTACATATTGAATACATTCAGATGGTAGATTAGTATCATTATCTAACATGATTCTTTCAATTTTTTGAGCTAATATAAATTGAATATTCTCGAGGATGATGATTATAAAACTGTATCACTCGACAAGATAATAAAAAATTAAAACTAAAAATTCGTTTATTCATCATGAATGTATTTTATTAAATATATATTCATGTTGTCTGTTATTCACTTACCACCAATATTTTCTTTGTTTTCGATTCTAGTTCTAGTTAATGGATATTTACTGTATAATTGAAGTTTTCTTTTGTAACGTTGTTGTATGAGTTAATTTTAAAAGAATAAACACACCATAAAACGATATTTGAAACTATTTTTCAATTAAACTCTATAGAGCAAATATAATTCAACAAAATAAGAAAAAAGTTAATAATTGTGTCATTCAACGAAAATAGTGTGTATCAAGAAGAATGACCGTTGTTGTTCTGTTAATCGGAATGTGTTGTTCTGAAAAGAAGTTGAACACATACATACTATACATACAAATAGACCAAAAACGAGGAAAGAAAAAGAGAAGAATAAAGAAATGTTAGCCCATAATACAACTATTAAACATTGACGAACTTCGAACTACGTGTTATGTTGGTCATCCATATCGACACAGTAAAAAAAAAAAAAAACACCACCGAGAAAAAGAGAAAGAAGAAGGAAAGATCGATGTGGTAAGAAATACGATATCTACGTAATGAACGTGTGTATGTGTGTAATAAGAAGAAAAAAAATTAGAAGATTTTGGATATAAAAGTTGAACGGACGTTCTTCTGTGACGTTGCTCAATTGTTCTTCTACTTGCCAGAAGAGAATAAATATATGTTTAACGTTCAAAAAAAAAAAAAAGAAAGAAGAGGAGGATCTTTCTGTTAAGTTTTTTTTCTGCTTTTCTTAATTTTTCTCGTTATAGAACGAAAAAACAAAAATCGGGAAGCTTTCTAGATGGACACAATATCGGAAAAAAAAAACGCCTTTTTCACAAGGACTCAAATGAATCTTGGATTATAGAGAGTAAGCAAAATGAGACACATTGTCCAACATATGTTTTTTTCTTCTCTTCTATAGTTTAAAATAAATCAAGCGTTTAGAAAAAAAACTTTACGTAACATTTGAAGGAAATAACTACTTAATAGTATAGACGCTTGGCTAATATTTATAGACTTTATGAGTAGAATAGGACTCCTTGAATACAGTCAAAAAAAAGTCATTTTCATATTTTAAAATAAAGATGACTTATAGATAACGGTAATATTTATTATTTTAAGTAAAAGGACATAAACGAAAGAAATGTTAAATCATTTTTACATTTAATCATAAAACTTTACGAATTTATCTTTTTTTTTTTTTCTCACCTGCTATCTTTTCGTATGTGATTTCTGTTGCCATTGCTAAAAAGTCATGTCATTATTTTCAAACTTGTATTTCATACAGATATATTTGTGTACGTTGAGAAAGAATAACTTCAAAATAATGATAAAAATACATAAATAAATACTATAGGTCTATAAAATTTGTTCATATACGAAATAATGGACGCATCTCCAGTATTCTCGAAACAAAACAGAAAAAAAAAGAAGCAAAGAAATTTCTTCTTTGACCGTTCATCTACCTGTCGACATTCTCACAGTAACAGCAAACTTTTCTTAATCTTTGTTGCATAAACTTCCATCATATATATTTTGTGTATATGTGAAGTAGTCGTTATGTAATTTAAGTATCACCTCATCAAAACCGTTCGTCGTCGTTGTTGTCATTTTCTTTTTAATTCTTTGTTGACCATTGTATATATATATATATACATCATATGTAATCAACATAAATTCACTGTCATTTACGCTTTTTATTTTCTCTAGAAAAAATGTATCATCTAATGTAATTGATAGTAATACAACAACATTTTTATTACTTATCAAATATGTCCCTGTAAATTGAATGTGTCCTTGCATTGTTTTCTATTCTATATATATATATATATTGATATACTAACCAGTTCAGACCATCAAGTCATTATTGTTTCCTCTTTTATTATGAAAATCATTTTCTCATTGCCATGACATAAGAAC